TGGAGAAGGATGTCATGCTTGGCAGGGTGGAGGGTCAACAAAAGAGGGGGAGGCCTTCAACGAGATGGATTGATACGGTGGCTGAAATGATGAGCTCAAGTATAGCAGGGATTGTGGGGTTGGCGCGGGATAGGGCAGTGTTTCGTTCTGCTGTGCATGGGGTCGCTATGAGTTGGAACGACTTGACGGCACTTAACAACAACAACAACAAGCAAGGCCTGTATATAGACCAAGAGGCAGTCGTTTGAACAGAACAAAGGGGGTACTGTGTGGTTTAAAATCAAGAAAGGTATGCAACAGGGCTGTATCCTTTCACCTTACTTATTCAATCCATATGCTGAGCAAATAATCCGAGAAGGTGGACCATATGAGGAGCTACAAGGCATCAGGATTGGAGGAAAACTGATAAACAACGTGTGATATGCAGATGACACAGCCTTGCTTGCTGAAAGTAAAGAGGACTTGAAGCACTTACTAATGAAGATCAGAGACTACAGACTTCAGTATGGATTATACCTCAACATAAAAAAAAATAATAATAAAAATTCTCACAACCAGACCAATAAGCAGCATCTTGATAAACAGAGAGTAGACTGAAGTTGTTAAAGGTTACATTTTACTTGCATCTACAATCAACACCTATGGAAGCAACAGTTAAGAAATCAAACAACATATTGCATTGGGCAAATGTGCTGCAGAAGACCTCTTTAATGTGTTCAAAAGCAAAGATATCACTTTGAGAACTAAGGTGCACCTGACCCAAGCCGTGGTATTTTCTATCACTTCATATGTACGTGAAAGCTGTGAGCAGTGAATAAGGAAGATCAAAGAAGAATTGATGCCTTTGAATTATTAGTGTTGGTGAAGAATACTGAATATACCATGGAATGTCAGAAGAATGAACAAATCTGTCTTGGAAGAAGTACAGCCAGAATGATCTTTAGAAGTGAGGATGGCAAGACTTCATCTCCTGTACTATGGACATGTTGTCAGGAGGGACCAGTCCCTGGAGAAGGACATCATACTTGGTAAAACAGAGGGTCAGCAATAAAGAGGAAGACTCTCAACAAGATTAACTAACACAGTAGTTGCAACAATGGATTCAAACATAACAACAATTGTGAGGATGGTGCATGTCTGGGCAGCATATCATTCCGTTGGACACAGGGTCACTATGAGTCAGAACCAACTCAGTGGCACCTACTAACAACAGCACACATAGCTTGATTTTCCTAAAAGTCTTGTATGAAATAAATAGCATCCATTTGCTGTTTTACGCAGGAGAGAATGGCCGGCTGAGATGTGTTGGTTTTAAGGTCTGATTTTCACAGCCTGTTCAGTGCTAACACATTCTCTCTTTTGATGCTAGGCTCTTGGGAGGAGGTGATGGCTGTGTGCAGAACAGCCAAGACTGTTGTGAGAATAGTCCTGAGGCTGTGTGGAGTGTCAGACCCGTTGTTGGCCACTAATTTTTAAAATAATTTCAATAGCAAAGGAGTACATGTTTATTATCAAAACTCAGGAAACAACAGTTGAGAAAAAAAAAAGAAGATAAAAATTAACCAAATCCAGAGAAACCTCTGTTAATATACTGGTATATATCCTTTCTGTCTTGAGCATATATATGAATGTGTGTAAAGCAAATACATCAATCATAGTTCTATGCTTTGGTTTTTTAATGAAAAAAAGAAAAGACTTTGTGATAGTTACCAAAGCCTACCAATGTTTTTCCTTCGCCCAGCCACAGCAGGTAACATTTGAGCTGGGACTGAGAAGCCATGTGCAGTCTCCACAGGAGCAAAGAGAAGCTGTGGAATGAAACAGCCAGGGCCTTTGCCATTGTATGAATGCCAATGAATGGCTAGTGTAAAGAAATCCAAGCTAAAGAGTTCTGATGTCCCCAGTCCTTCAAAATAACCAAAAAAAAAAAAAAAAAGGGCAGAAACAAACATTCATTCTGCCAGCTCATCTGCATAATTTAGGGCATCTCAGCAGGGTAGTGTTTGTTAGACGTGGGTCCTCTAAGACAAAAAAGTACAAAGAAAAGGCTGGGAGTAGATTGTGGAGAATCTTTTTGAAAAAGGAAATAGTTGAGATTGCTTACATGTGTTTTGTTTTTAATTGAGTTTCCATATTTTCCAAATTTTCCCCTTTGTTTCTCCTACCACCCCATCTTTTGTTTAAGTTCTAAACGCAGGACTTGACAGCTCACCAGACCTCACCATGTCCCCAGGGAAGAAGGGAACTTGCCCTGACCCCAGCAGGGCCTCAGAAGATGCAGGCAAAACCTGTCTGCCTGAGAAGTCCAGCAAGCCAGCGTCACCCCAGGTCACCGAGTCCCAGGGCAGGCCTCAAGTCAGGCTGGTCCGAGACCTCAACACATCCCCAGGGAAGAGGGCAGCACCTCATCCTGACTTCAGCCAGACTTCAGCAGCATCCGAAGCCAGTGCACCTGACAACACCAGGAAGCCAGCTGCCCTCAAGGGAGCAGAACCTGAGGTAGTGGAAGCGTCTCAAGCTAGTGCTGTCCTGTCACAAGACCTCGTCACGTCTGAGGAGAAGAGACAAGCAGTTCAAGGTAACCACAGCAAAGCTCTGGAGAAGACAGAAGTCTGCATTTCTGAAAACTCCAGGGAGTCTACTCTGCTCAAGGGAGGAGATTCTGTGTCTGAGAGGGTGCCACATGCCAGGGCCTCCCTGGCGTCATCCACTGATAAGACCAAAGAGGTGTGTGGTGGTGGTTCCGGGCACTGCTGCCCACGGGAGAGGCCGGAGAGCCCCGTTACTGACATTGACAGATGCATCATGGAGTTGGAGGCTTCTGAAGCAAGACTTCAGTCTTCTCAGAAAGGGAACCATGTGAGTCAAGGGGGCAGTTCTCAGGGTCAACTTCCAGCAAAAGCGGAGAGTGGAAGTTCCTGCCATGCCAAGCTAGTCACGGAGAAAAGGACCTCCTCTCCAAGGAGGACCCGGGCTGCTGGTCCACCCCCTCATCCCCAGTGGGCCTCCCAGCCTTCCATTTTGGATTCTGTTAATCCTGACAAACAGTTTACTGTGAACAAAAACTTTTTGAGCAACTACTCTAGAAATTTTAGCAATTTTCATGAAGACAGTACCTCCCTGTCAGGCCTGGGTGACAGCACTGAACCATCTCTCTCATCCATGTATGGCGATGCTGAGGACTCATCCTCGGATCCCGAGTCGCTCACAGAAGCCCCACGTACTTCCACCAGGGACAGCTGGTCACCACCTCATTCTCGCAGGTCATCGCACAAGGAAGATACAACAGAGTCTGAGGAGGAGCAAATTGAAATCTGTTCCACGAATGGCTGCTCCCACCCACCCGCAGCGACTGCTCATCGACCTGCCCAGGCCACACCCTACCCTGCGGTAGCCAAAGTTCTGCCATTAAAACATAGTGCTCAGATTGAATCCGTGGGAAATCCATGTGAGAGAGCTTCCTTTGTGCCAGGAGCATCATGCTTGCCAATACCAAACTCTTCCCCGCCATTTTCACTCTTGGATATAAGCTCTCCAGAGCATGAAACTCTTGGGGATGCAAGCATTTCTCAGAGCCACAGGCCTTCGTGTGCAGAAGAGACTGTGGAAGTCACCAGCATTGGCTCAGACGTGGAAAACAGCCAGCCTCGTAAAGTCCTCAGTCACTTTCAGGACCCCCCAGTCACTCTCTGCTGCCCTAGTTTGGTGAACGGTCTGGACTATGACTTACTGGGTGATGAAACCCCAAATAAAGAACAAGACGCAAACGTTAAGGCAGCTGAAGAGGCCTCTTCCTTCGGTGTAGATATTCCTAAGAACTCTGTCTTGGCAAACCCACTCATCTCTGAGAGCCAAGAGCCAGGCGACGTGCTACAGAAACCAAAAGTGACCTCCAGGAGGCCCATCATGGCTTGGTTTAAAGAAATAAATAAAAATAACCAAGGTATCCATTTGCAGAGCAAACCTGTAAAAGAACTATCCCCAGCGCCGACCAGAAGTCCTGACTCCAAAATTCAAACGATGAGCTCGAGCCACAGAAAAAGCATTTCGGTGCCAAATAGTCCTCAGCTGAAAATGAATCTTGAAAATAAAGACCCGCCAAAGAAAAGCTCGGTGGAAACGCTTCTTAGTAACTGTCAGAGACCCAAGTCGGGACCGAAGCTGAAGAGGTTGAGCATCAAAAGTAAGAGCAAAGTCAGCGGTGAGGCTTCGGCTGCCAATACAGCCAAGGCTGGCGGGCTGGACCACCGGAAGTCCCTGACTTCACCACACACAGCCCAGAAAACGCTTTCTAGGGCAGCGGTGCATCGGCTGCACGCAGGGGTCCGTGAGGAACCCGACAGAAATGGCGCAGCCGCCGCCACGTGTACGCTGGAGAGCAAGCCACCCCTCGCTGCCTCTGGGGCACTGAGGTCCTCCGCGTCAGACACAAGCATCAGACAATTCATCTCGCCCCTCACCTCCCCCAAGACTCTTCCGGAGCCAGGTGCGTGTAGTAGGATCCATGCAGCCTTTCACTCAGAAGCAGAGAGAAGTTGCCCGGCCGCCCCCAAGTCCTCCAGGTGTGGAGCAGAGAGTACGGCGCCCCCTGCTGGCCCTGGAGCAGCGAGTCCCACAGCATCAAATGGTAGCGCCTCCACCACAGGGAACAAGCGTGAGATTCAACCTCCAGGCCAGAAAGAGTCCCGCCCGTGGGGCCCAACAGACTCAGCCTCGGAAGCAGCCCAGCCCAGGGTGGCTGCTGAGAAAGGAAGCGGAATGATTGCTAGCGATGCCCCAGAGAGAACAAGGCAGCTGAAAATCGTGGGCATTCCTTCTGAGAGGATGCCTAAGGGTTCATGTGGTGACAAGCTAGCTGAAAGTGACAGGCGGGGAGGGGTCTTAGCCCAGAGCAACTGTCAGGAGAAGGGTGAGGTCAGACTCTGTCCCCAGTCAGTAGAACTGTCTCCTCATTACACGTCCTTACCCACTTCTCAGGCCTCCCATGGCGAGCAGGAAATGCAGCGCTCTTCCAGTGTGGCCACACTGGCTTCCTGCTCCTCCCCCCAGCTGCCTGCTAAGAAAACAGATTCCTGCCAGGGAAAAACAAGCCCAGTGGTGGAACCCCTGAGGGTGGCCAAGAACGTCACACCAGTGGGGACTGCAGTGGATGAGCAGCCCTACTTCACACCACGACCAGCGACCAGGACCTACTCCATGCCAGCCCAGTTCTCCAGCCACTTTGGACGGGAGGCTCCTTCCCTCCACAGCCCAGGCCGCTCTCATCTGGACAGCCAGAACTCTGTGACAGGTGGTGGCTTCCTGGAGACAAAGCCACCCAAAGGTGGTGTCCTTGATCTGGTTAATGGGCAGAGTGTCTACAGTGTGAAGCCCCTGATGGAGACTTCGAGGAACCTTCCCGCAATGTTCCAAGGAGATGCCCTGCCCATCCCGGAGACAAGCTGCCTCATCACAGACAGGATCAGAGTCACCAGGAGGCATTACTGCTACGAGCAGAACTGGCCCCACGAATCTACCTCATTTTTCTCTGTAAAGCAGAGGATCAAGTCTTTTGAGAATCTGGCCAATTCTGACCGGCCTGCCGCCAAATCCGGTGCTTTCCCTTCTTTGTCTGTAAGCTCCAAGCCCCCCATCGGGAGACGCTCGTCTGGCAGCATCCCTTCTGGGAGCCTCAGCCACCCTGGGGAGGCAGTGAGGCCACTGAGACGGAGCCTGAGTTCCTGCAGCGAAAGCCAAAGTGAGGCCTGCACCCTCATGCCCCCAGTGACCAAGTCCCCTTCCAGCACGATGCTGGCGGTCGCCCAGCACATCCCAGTGGAGACCAGTAGCAAAGACCCTGATTTGGACCAAAAGAAGTCACTGGGTCCTTCCGGAATCCCCACCCCAACAGTGACCCCAGCCTCTCCCATCAAGAGGAACAAGTCCTCGGTGCGCCACTCCCAGCCCTCGCCTTTGTCCCGCTCGAAGCTGCAGGAGCTGCGGGCTCTGAGCATGCCCGACTTGGACAAGCTCTGCAGCGGGGACTACTCGGTGGAGCCCACTGCTGTGCTCTTCAAAACAGAGCTGGAAATCATCCCCCAGAGGTCACCCGGCATCCCTGCTGGAGGCCTCTCTAGCCTCAGTGGATCAGCGGGGAATGGGGCCCGGCCAGGAGGAGACAGCCCTAAAGCCAGTGAGCCGAGTGCACCCAGTTCAGCCAAGGATGGAAGGGAAACCACCCAGGATCTGCCCTCTGGAAAAAGCTGGTCAATCAAGTAAGTATCTGCCCTCACCTGTTATTTAAATAAACTTTTTTTATTTTTGGAATAGTTTGAGTTGTAGAAAAGTTGCACAGATGGTACGGAGAGGTCCCAGATGCACCTCACCCAGCTGCCCCTGGTGCTGACATCTTACGTCACCACAGTCCACTGGTCAGAAGTAAGAAATGAACATCGGAACCATACTCTAAGCTAAAGTACTGTCTTTGTTCAGACTTCGTCCATTTTCCCACTAACTCCCATTTTCTATTTCAGGAACCAATCCAGGATCCCATAGCATTTAGCCTCTTGTTTTTAATATCATTACTGGAAAAATGAAAGCCCTCCAGGGGACAGTGTCTACCAGAAGGTTGTCCTTAGGAGAGGTTCATAAGGGATATGGTACATGAGCCAAGGCAAGATTCAGGGAGCTGGGAGGAAAGAGAGAGGCTCTGGTGGCGTAGTACCTAAGGCATTTGACTGCTAACCAGAAGGTTAGTGGTTCAAACCCACCAGGCACTCTGCAGAAAGAAGATGGGGCAATCCACTTCCATAAAGATTTACTACCTCGGAAACCCAATGAGGGGTTGCTATGAGTCAGAATCAACTCAATGGCAGTGGGTTTTAGGGAGGAAAGAGAAGCTGCTCCAGGGCAGAACCTGGGCCTTTGGAGGTGACTGTATTCAAACAGGGAATTCCTGATATTAAGAATTTCACCTGAGTCTATGTTGACTATTTTTCAATGCATCGGAAATGTTCTGTTGAATTCCTACATTGCTTCCCTAACATCTTGGCAGAATCCCTGAGTCCTCAGCAATTCCCGCTGCTCTTGGCAGTGAGTGAAGTTGCTCTCTAGTGTGCAGGGTCCTTCAAGTGCTTTGGTGTGAGGGTTATGACCAAAATAAAGATGAGAATCAGGAAATACTGGCAAAATAGTGGAAAGAGAGAATTTTAAATGCATCCTTATAAATGAAGAAATTGCTTTTTCCTTTAATGTTCTTCAAATGTATTTATATTACCTAGTTTGGATCAGCTTCTTGTCTCAGTGGAGGACCAGCAAAGATTACAGTCCATCTTATCATCAGTGGGGTCAAAATCTACCATCCCCACTCTCATTCAGGAAGCGAAGGCACAATCAGAGGTGAGTGAAATACTGGAAACACGGGACAGCCAGCGTCTTAAGACAGGCCAGCTCTGCTGCTCAAGGGCTGGGCATGATGCCCGTTCTTGTGTATATGTAAAAAGAGACATGACTCTTTTTATTCCAACCATTTTGAGTGCAATCCTCCATAAAAGGCATCCCATATTCCCTTGACTTAACTAGCGTCCACTAGTGGGATGTGGCCTGTTCTTGATGATTCAGGGATGTCTTAAAGAACACTAGTGGTTGCCTTGGCTGGGACCCAGAGATTCTTAGGGCCTACTCCAAGTGACCCCCAACTGCTGGCTGGTTGATTGGTGAGTGGATGAGTGGACCGGAGAATCTGTCTACTTAAGTATTACCGTGTGGCCTACATCAGGGTAGCAAGGCCAGTGTTTACTAAGATTGTGTCAACAATAAAGTCTAACTGAGGTCCCAAGGGATTTTTTTCTTTGAACAAAGTTCATCCTTCTTTTCTTCCTTCTCACCTAAATGCTGTGCTTTCCCTCTCACCTATACCTAGCTGCTTTTACAAGTTAGAAGATCGACAGATTAAATCTGTTTTTGGAATCCAAGGTAACCAAGGTGGTCAAAGACGGATTAGAGAGAAGGGAGACTTGATTTGTGAAAAAGCAGCCGCTAATTGCAGTGAGGAAGCTCTGGTAGCGTAGTGCCTAAGGCACTTGACCGCTAACCAGAAGGCTGCCGGTTCAAACCCACCACCCACTCCTCAGAAGGAAAGTTAGGCAATCTACTTTCGTAGTGATACCACCTCAGAAACCCAAGGAGGGGTCACTATGAGTCAGGTCTGACTCGACAGCACATGACAACAACAATTGCAGTGAGCTCTGGTGGTGTAGTAGTTAAGGCATTTGGCTGCTAAGCAAAGGTCAGTGGTTCGAACCCACCAGCTGTTTCACAGAAGAAAGATGGGGCAATCTGCTCCCGTAAAAATTTACAGCTATGAGTAGGGATTAACTAAATGGCAGTGAGTTTGGGTTTTTGTTTTGTTTTGTTTTGTTTTGTTTTTAAGGTAAGATTAACGAAAGCTGAAATGAGTAGCACCAGAGAAAATGAAGGTAAAGGAACCTGGTTTGAAACAGTTTATAGATGTGACAGAGTGGGTGACAGTGGATGTAGAGGTGAAGAAACATGCTCAGTGATGACTACCGTGGGTCTCGCCCCAGCCACCAGATCAGGGGATGCAGAGAGAGGGCCTGTTTAGAGGGGAAGCAAGCAGCTTAGACCTAGAAGTTGAAGCTACTGTGGCTGATGGAGCTGGACATGGAAGATGAATCCTAATAGCTCAGAAGTGACCAAATGACTCTTTTGTGAATTTGGTCAGGTAGGAAATTATATAAATATATATTAGATATAGATATATAATTGTGATTTGGGTGCAAGTTACAGAGCAAAGTCATTTTCCATACCACAGTTCATATACATTTTGTTTCATGACATTGACTGCAATCCCCACAATGTAACAGCCCTCTTTTCCACTTCCTCCCTCTTTTCCCTTGTCCTTTCTGCTATGCATTACTGCCCTCTGAGCCCCCTGTGCAAATATGGCCTTCTGGTCTCCATTGGTTGATTGTTCTAAAGAGTATACCTACCTAGTGTAAATGTTCACCTTATACGCCTGTCTATTGTTTGGCTGGAAGCCACAGAAGAGAGTTCACTTCTAGGCCTGAAGGGTCACTAGGGGCCATAGTTTCTGGGGTTCTACTAGTCTCTATCAGATCAGTAAGCCTGGTCTTTTTTAAAATTTTGAGTTTTGTTCCACATTTTTCTCCCACTTCAATCCAGGATCTCCTGTTTTGATCCCCTTCTGAGTGGTTGACAGTGGTAGCCAGGCACCATTTAGTTGTTCTGGTCTCAGGGTCGTGTAGGCTGAGGATGGCATGGTCCATCAGTCCCTTGGACTAATTGTTTCCATGTGTCTTTGTCTTCATTCTTCATTGCTCCAGATGAAGAGAGACCAATAGTTGTATCTTAGATGGCTGCAGGAAGGTTATATTTAGGAGAACTAGGTTGGGCAACCTACTTCCATAGTGATACAGCCTCAGAAACCCAAGGAGGGGTCACTATGGGTCAGGTCCAACGCCACGGCACATAGCAACAACATACTTGTTTAAGGCGCTCTGGTGGCATAGTGGGTAAGGCATTTGGCTGCTAACCAGAAAGTTGGCAGTTCAAACCCGCCAGCTGCTCCATGGGAGGAAGATGAGGCAATCTACTTCCATAAAGATTTACAGCCTTAGAAACTCAGTGGGGGTTGCTATGAGTCAGAATCAACTCGATGGCAGTGGGTATGTTCATTTAGTTAGTTTTATCCCCAAAAAATACATATAATAGTATGAGATTAAAAATAGGTAGTGTTCTAATTGATGTCATTAAGTTGTACACCTGAAAATGATCAAATTGGCAAGAGTGTTACATATATTTTTGCTAAAAAAAAAAAAAAAAGAGAGAGAAAATACTAGAGACATCCGTGAAGCTGGGGAAGGGTTACTCCACGGGAACACATGCCGGCACACCTGGCTCTGCTCCTGAAACTGTGCTGTTGGCTGGGCTCTGACTGCCCTTGCAGCTGTGGAAAGAGAAAAGTGTGAATAAGCCACAAGGGCCTGGGACAGTGGTTCTCAACTGAGGACGCTACTGAACATCCAACAATGCATGGGACAGTCCTCAACAGCGAGGAATTGCGCAGTTCAAGATGTTGAAAGTGCCACGGTTGAGAAACTCTGGTCTGGGAGGATGGTGACTGAAGAGCAAGAGCAGAAACGTGCTGGGTAGCGGGTGCTGTGGATTTGTGGGCTTCCTGTGAGGCAGTGCTCTCCTTCCGGTGGGCTTTCTGTTTGGAAGATGCAACTGCTGTGGTGTCTCGCCCGGGCATGTGCACTAGCAGAGAGAGCCAGTGCCAACCAAGTCCTGGTAGCTTGCATCAGAAGCCAGGCCTGTCTTGAGTGTCCAGCTTCCCAATTGGTTTAGCTGACCTTTTAATTCTGCAGACGTATTTAGTTATCATCCCCCACCGTTACATTTGGTGTTTGTCCGTACAAGGTCCTCAGAGCAGAAACAGACATGTTGGCAGGTTGGTGAACGCTCACTGGCAGGTGAAGGGCGAACATAAATGATGTGGTCAAGGGAGCCACCTGCTGATAAAATGGGAGCATTACATCTGTGTATCCCTATTCTTCCCGTAAAGCATTTAAGAGCATCTGAAGTCTGTGATACGAACCAAAGAAGCCAAGTAACTTAGAACAAAGTCTTTAAATAGGTTTGATGTGACAATTACAAAAGAAACCATCAGTTCGCATTCTAGGAACCTTCTCTGAACAACATTAATTTCTAAAGACTCCATGGAGATTTGAATGCTAACAAATGCATGTTTTCTGTTTAGAGAAGAAAGCAAATTTGAACGTGTTTTCTTTAGTGGTAACATGTCTGGGTCACTAAAGTACTCAGAGAACACTGCAGCAATTCCCATGTAACCCCGGGGAGCTCTGCCTTGGCGTCTCTTGAGGAACTGGCCAGGAAGGAGAGGAGATGGGGTAGACTAGGAGAGACCCTTCCCCATATCCCCCACGCCCTTCTGATTCTCAGCCAGCTGCTTTGGGTCTGTGCCCGAAGAAGACCTTGAAGCATCAACCATTTTTCACGTCCATCTCCCCTCCTTCAACTGTTGTTGCGACAGTAAGCAAGCATCTCACCCCTGGAGGACTAGCTCCCGAGTTTTCAGTCAAGGTGGCAATAGGGGCTCACCCACTGACAGACCCCCTTTGCCCCACTGAATAGTGTTAGAGCAAACATGCACGGAAACCACGGTCTCCATCCACCTGAGAACCGAGATGCACATCCCAGGGACCGTGAACAAAGCAGAGGCATTTTCTGAGGACGGCATCTTCCAGGGCCTCGCACAGCCCCCCTTACCCTCACTCAGTACTCACCACCCAGGAAGCGCTGGGGTTTGCACTGAAAGATCATGCCTGGTTTCCATGGAATCCCTTTTTAATTTCCCTATTGTCTCCCATTGATTTCAGAGGGAGCAGTGAGCAGAGATGTTGCCATTCTGCCAGAAATTTCTTGCCTTGTTCTGTGCACTGAGTATGACTTACAGGTGCTGAAAATGGAACTGCATGAAACTATTTCCTGAGGCCTCCATGGGCACTTACAGGGGAGTCTAGGAAGTGGCAGAAAACAAGCCCTCTGGTCTACCTGCAGCCCACCCAGACCTGGTGTGTTGCTGTTGTTACGTGCCATCGAGTCGGCCCCCACTCATAGAGACCCCTCCTTGGGTTTCCGAGGCAGTATCACTACGAAAGTAGATTGCCTCATCTTCCTTCCGAGGAGTGGCTGGTGGGTTTGAACACCAGCCTTCTGGTTAGCAGTCAAGTGCCTTAGGCACTATGCTACCAGAGCTCCCTAGACCTGGTGTAGGACCTTAAAGGACTCCTGGTAGCCGTCTGGTTTCCCTCATGCTCTGTTAAGCCTCCTAGAGCAGCAAAATGTAGCCCAGTGGTCTGCTTCTATGATACTTGTATTCTCAAACACAACTGAGAAAAAATCATCATCATCATCATCTGAGTAAATTAAAATTATGGTGATGATGTGTCTTGGGATCTGGAAGAGTCCAATTTTCAAATAGTCTCTCTTTCCTCCAAGAAAGCAATTAAATGTCTGTTCGTGTTTCGGCTTCAGAGAGACCACAGAACAACAAACAGATCACTTCTCAGACATGTTCCTGTTTTGGTTGTAGAAGCCAGTGACTATTCTTCTTGCCATTAAAGACTATCATCTATGATATCTGATTCAAGCTGCCTCTGAAGAGAAAACGCCAACCTTGAAAGATCTCAAGGACATTCCAATGTAAGCAAAGGGGAGCCCTGTGGAGCCATTGGTTTGAATGAGCTTTGTTGTTGTTGTTAGGTGCTATCAAGTCATTTCTGACCCACAGTGACCCTGCATACAATGGAACAAAACATTGCCCAGTCCTGGGC